GGGGTCCGCCTGGGCTCCTGGCCATTGGTTCTTGTTGCTGGGTCATATGGGGGTTGCGTTCATTGAACGTCGCCTTTCCTTGTTGATCTTGTTTATCATATTTTAAGCAAATTTTTAGGAAATGAAAATTAATATACAGGGTACACAAGTTTTAACCATGGTTAGGAACGTCAAGAAACATAATCCATGCCCTTGTCTGATGGTTGGGGAGCATTGTAATTTACTGGTGCACAACTTGTATTTGCATGCCAAAAATGATATATTTATTTTGTAGGGTATGGTGTTTTCATTACAGAGCCTATTAGGGCAGGAGACTTTATTCTACAGTACTTTGGTGAGAAAATAACAGAGGAGGAAACAATAAATAGAATGAAAAAATGCCAAGCAGAAAACAATTTTTTTTACATGTACAAAGGCAGGAAATGGTGGTAAAAAGTTTAAATATAGTTTTAACCTCTTGTTTGCTTGATTAAAAGTTTGATAGAGATGGTCTTGTGCTTTTTTTATTAATGAATTTATTCTGTTAAAAAAATGGAAGTTTCTCCATAATACTGTCTATTTGCCATGGTAATATTTGTAAAATTTGCTGTACAAAAAGCCAATTCCTGTTACTTTTTTTAAACAAAAAGTCTTGAATAACTGCAGAAGTTGCTGAACGCCATGTTAAGGCTAAGGAAGTTGCGGAACACCTTGATAAAGTTGAGGAAGTTGCTGAGCACCATGTCGAGGCTAGGGAAGTTGCTGAACACTATGACAAGGCTGAGCATCAAGTAACATCAATGAAAGCTCATGCAAAAGAAAAGCTGAATCCTTAAAAGGTAACTTTTATGTTGTGTGTATTTGTAACAAGTCAATATGGCAACTTAGTGTCCTTTTTATCTGTTAGTTTAACCCCAAATTTGGCCAGGCTATTATCATTGGATTTTTTGTAATTTTGCACCATAAATGTATTTAAATGTTTAACTTGGTGTGTTTATATACTGGTCCCAACAATGACTCTTACTTGGTATGTTTATATATTTGTCCTCTTTATAATGACTATCCTAAACTTGGTATAAGTATATACTGGTCTCCTTAATGACTGTTTTACATTTTGTCCACTTAATGATTGATTTAAACTTATTTTTTATATACTGGCCCTCTTTAAATAACTGTTTTATACTTGCAGTGTTTATATAATGTTACTCATAATACTTTTTTGTATTTGTATTTTTATATCATCTGTATAAACAATGAATCTTAACATTTGAGATTTTTTAGGCTCATCAGGGTGAGCTATTCTGTGAATTGTTGGTTGTGCATCAACATTTTTACTTTTACCATCTTCTGGACCGCTTACAAGATTTTTACTAAATTTTAGAATTGATCCTTGGTGGGTCCCTTACCAAAGTTGTTACAAACTTTCAGTTTATTGCCTAGATAAGTCACAGGGGTCAAAAAAAGGTTTAGAAAAAGAAATTTTCAAAAATCCTCTCCTAAGATACCATAAACCCAAGAACTTATTTGTGATACATCAAAGGACTATTTACAATTACACAAATAAATCTAGAATTGTGATTCTTAGCATTAGAACAGTTTGTTTGTTTTTGCATTTGTTTCATCAAATAGAGGTGATCAGTACTTTAGTGGTGCCATCTCTTAAATTATATGATTAAGGTAATAAATGTTTTGGATGAAAAACAAATTCATTTTATGTAAATATACTGTTGCCTTTAATGATTTTTAGTAATGTGGTATGTTTATTTACTGACTTATTTGGGTTATTATAATTGTAAATTTGATCAATTAACAATTAACTAACTATTTTTTATAATCATGCATTAATCCATTAAGTAGCATTTTTATGATAAATTATATAGAATTGTAAAATCACACTATCAATTACTTTATGATTAATGTAAAACTTAACAATCTCACTATCTGTATTGCACTCAAATAGCTGTGGAAATGTAGAAACATCTATGAGATTAATACTTGTTTATGGCTTTGACATTTTATACCTGTTGTAACCTCTATGATAGAAACAGATAAATAATCCATATAAATCATTAACTTGCATGGTCCAACAATATCATTTACAATTTGAACAAGATGACCAAACACTAACTGTTTTTGCAAGGGATCCCAAGAATATCTAAGCTATGCTTCTTTTATATAATTATAATTAAGTAAACTTGAGTTTTGATTATATTCCATTTGTTAATGTATGTTAAAACCTGAAAATAAAAGCATTTGATGAAATGTTATTAGTAATTGGAACTTAGAATAGGCCAAAGAATATCAATCTGTTTTTTGTGTGATTGTATGTCTTGCATGATCAGGCCTCGGAAACCCCTATCTGATTTTTATGAAATGGCAACATAAATATCTGCATTTTAAACTGTTTTACTAAGGAAAGACAAGTACTATCATAGTCAGTTTGGTGTTGTGTGAAACTTTTAACCTGGAATATAACTTTGTATCCCTGGAGCGAAAAGGTCAAAATATCTGTAGGTCAAACATTCAAAATTTTTGAACTGCTTAGAATTATGCTTAGGCTTATGCTATGTTTTTTTCCTGCCATTGCAATATTGAGTAAAGAAGATTTTTTTTCACTCTCATTTATTCTTGTTGTTTCAGTGAAATGGTCAGAAAACAGACACACATATTGTTTGACATACATTTAGCGATTTTGTCGCACTAAGACTGATCAAGAAAATTGCAAAGGTAGTTTATAATAAATATCAAAATAAAGAGTAGAGTTGTTTTTACATCCCTGTAGTAAGGGTTATCATTTCCAGTAAATAAAACGAGCAAGAAAACTTTAGACAAGCTTTTAAAACAAAACATTGGATTGCACTTGGGATCATTTTGTTTAAGGCTAAGGTTGCTTTAACTTCCAGAATAAGGCTTTTTTACATAACATTAAGTTTGTATCATTTTGTAACTGACTTTGCTATAAATAAGATCTTTAACATTTTGTAATCTTTTAATGGAAATGGTTTGAATTTTTTTATAAATGTAGGCTTTGAACATGGGTCAATGGTGTGAAAATTGCTATCTCTATGATATCTCTAACTAAAATTGTGTGTGCAGTTTAGAGGTCCTGTTTGTTAACCACTTTTCAATTAAATGATTGTTTAAAACAAAAGTATGTTTGATAGACACTCGTTCAATGTCTTAGAAAATAAAGTGGGTGATAAATATAATCTTATCTGAAGTCTGCGTCTTATTTGATATATGTCTTTGAAATCATGAATGTTTGCTTTAGTCTTATTTTCATTTTCTCAAACAGACAAGTGCAATTTCAAAACCTATATAAATTGTTTAAATTCGTTTCAAAGTAAAAACAAGTTAATTAATAAATAATAAGTGTTTATCGTCAGATATCCCATTGTAAAGCAAACTTAAATTTCTTATTTTTCATGTTTTGGAATGTGATGGAATTATAATGTTGTGTAATATTGTAGAGATGAAATGTTTTTTTTGTCTTAAAGTAGAAATAAACTAATGTATTGTGTTATATGGAAGATAATGAAATGCATTGTGCTTTATGGTTGAGATGGAATTTGTTGTGTCATATGGATCTGTATTATGTAACATTAAAAAGATGATATGTAGTGCGCTACATGGAAGAAATGGAAAAGATGCTATATAGTAGCGAGGAAATATGCTTTATATGAAAGAGATGAAATGAATAGTGCAATATTGAAGAGATAACATATGTTGGCTAATTTGAAAAATATAAAATGTATTATGTTATATGTAAGAGATGAAATGTATTCTATTTCGTGGTAGAGATGAAATGCATTGTGTTATATGAAAGATATTGTGTTATATGAAAGAGAAGAAACCTATTGTGTCATGTGGAGAAATAAAATGTATTGTGATAAATGGTAGAGATGAAATGTATTGTGTTATATGGCAGAGATGAGATTTATTGTGATTTGTGGTAAAGGTGAAATGCACTTTGTTGAAGAAGAGATGAAATTTGTTGTGTTATATGGTAGAGATGAAATGTGTTGTTGTATGGTTAAGATTAAATATATTGTGTTATATGGTAGAGATGAAATTATTGTGTTGTAAGAAAGAGATGAAATGTATTGTGTTGTATGGAAGAGATGAATCATATTGTGTTGTATGGAAATGATGAAATGTATTATATGACAAAATAAACTTATATTACCTCTTAAATAGTGCTATACTTACTTTAAAAAAAGTAATGTGACCACTGGATTAGTGGAGATAGCCTGCATGAACCTTGACTTAAAGTTCATGACCTTCCCATGTATTATCCAATTAAAACTTTCAGAAAACATCTGAAATGACATGAGCTTAAAAATGACTCGGACAGCTATAACAATATTGTACACAATAAAGTAAGACCCAGCTTATAGGTCAAGGTAACACATAATTAACAAATTTATACTGTATCTCATTGTCAGATGTGTCAAATCTCAAGTTAATTTCCCTGATTTAAATACAGTTAGTATCTTCTGGTTAAAAGTGTTATTCTATGACATGACTATAAAGTAACCGAATCAATACATAACTAATTCTTTGATATATTTTTTAAAGTGACCTGTGCCAACAAGCTCCTTAAAATTGATTGTCTTTTGTTTGTCTTAATTTGTTGTTTAAGTAATTTATTTTTACCATTTGAATTATTATACTACATTTGATAATCATAATCCCGCCTACTTTCAAGACAGTAAATTATGCACAAGAATTTTTATCCTGAAATATTGTCTCTTTGTAAGCTGTACTCGAATAGTGGAGCGTGTTGTCTCCCTGAGAAATCTTGTTACCTAAAGTGGAAAGTAGCAATGTTTTGAATACATCTTATATAATGTCCACTTAATACCTGAAATGTGCTTCAGTCAACCTAATGCATGTGATATATTTTGTATATATACATGGTCACCCTAATGTATGTGTTATATATAATATATATACCGGTCACCTTAAAGAATATACTATACTAAGCAAATATTAGGGAGACCAATTTTTTGTATATTTTATTTATAAGGTGTATCGGAAAAATGAATACAGCCAAACATTAATTGGGCTTTGAAGGCTACAAATATGTCATCACATCATTAAAAAATCGATTCTAAGGAAAACTGCAAATTGTCCCCTTAATACATGTTTTAAGGAATGGTCCCCTAATGCCTAAATTAGTGTTATATATTCAAAATTTTTGAAGAAATATCCTAATGAGACAGCCCTTTCTTTCTAAATATTATATCGTTAACTCCCCCGTCCCACCGTGAGACCTTTAGCATTGAATCATAACCTTGTTTCTCAACGTAGCTCTTTAATCCAGCTGATGAGCCAACATCATGAACGTACTCTACTGTTAACATCTTAATGTTCACCTCACCCCATGGAATTGTCTTCAATATATTTAATTCATCTCCTTCCACATCTAGACTGAAAAAATCTACTGTCAACTGATCTAAGGCTAGGAGAATGGAATATAGGGGAAAACACTGAATATGAACCTCGTCTTTAGGAATATTTTGCTTCTTTATCCAATTCTTGGCTTCTTGGTCGTGGACGACTCGACCTCTATTAAAAGCTTTGTTGAACGTCATCTGAAAAAAAACATAATATTAATATATAAGTAATGTATAGGTGGTTAATTTTACGACGGGGAAATATTTGCGATTTTTGCAAATAGAAATTATTAATTATGAAATTATGAATTACGAAATTTCAGCATAAAGGTCAAGGTTATTTAAGAATAAAAACATAATTATCTTTAGTAAAAACAATTTCTTGGCAGGATGAAAAGTTGTTTCAAGACTGATATGCCTTTGTAGATTGTTGACAAATCCATCAAATAATTTGAAAACTTGCCAAAGAGCTAACATAAGTTTTCAATAGTAATCATGGCTTTATTGTGATTTTCCTAAGATAAATTATGCTCGATTCTATTAAATGTTCCTTATATATCACATAGGGCTATTTTATCAATTTTCATATGATAATCTCGTTGTTGTCACAATTGTTCTAAAATTTCCACAGTTGTTCTTTGATATTTTCCCTTTTTATCACTAAAGTTTCCTTCTCTGATTTTTTACCCCCCCCCCCCTACCCTTATTGCCCTTGTCCATTTAATTTCTTTATTAGGCCGTTTAAATATTTATGATTATTTCACACAAAACGTGTCCCTCTCCTCCTTTGGCCACTCTCGGTTTTGGTTCGGTGCCCTGCTGCGGAAGCTTGGTTATGTCAGGGGCTGCGTTCTTTGAAAGTTGCCTTTGAATTTTTTATCTTTATTCTCGACGTTAACTACGATTTCTGTCAATTGGTTATCCTTGAACTTGCTGTTGTTACCTTGCACTTTTCTGATAAGTACTTTATCATGGTTAAAACGTTATGACAGAATTGTATTTGGTCAAAATTGTTAACTGTGAGTGTTGCTATGATTATGAACTTTAAAATCCTTTTTTCATAACTGATGACGTAATTATTGGACTAAGATCACTTTAAGGAAATAAACAAGATGCCATTAGCCCCAAAGTGCTAACCTGAGTAAACAAAAAGCTGATAATTTTGAAAAATTATGGTTTGGACAAAGTTTCAGTGGTAAACTTCACTGCTACACGCAGAACATTGGTTAATGTCCCACAACATAATTATTTCCGTTTTAAACATAAGACCCTACCCATTTTGTAACAACAATGAGCTTTAGGCAATACCCAATACACATCATACAAAGAACATGCATTTTACTGAAATTATGAACATGTAGAAATTAGTTTTCTTCAATATATCAATGCATTGTCTATATTTGTCATCCAATGTTAATATATCATTGATATGCTTGGACTGAATATATGGCTGCTCTAAAAATAGATGCCTTTTTTAGAGGATTAAAGTCAATATAATAATTATTTTACCATATAATTACCAATTATCATCAAACGTTTTTTTTAAATTATCCGACTCACATCTATATGACAGTTTGGTACAAGAAGTAAATAGTGCCGAAGTTTATTTACAAACAAAACATTGCAACATAAATATTGCATCGCCCTATGTTAGTCCGAGTGACACGAAAAAGTCATAGCTTCTGTGGGTCTTACTGCCAGCTACTATAATATGCGTATTGTTGGTTTGGGTTTTTACGCAGATTTTATCACAGTATTGGTCAGTTTGTCTTCCTTATTTGGATTTTCTGTCTGATAACTCAAACCATATAGTATTTACCCAATTTCTCTTCAAGAAACCTTTAATACTTATCCCACATGATTTTTGAATCAGTGGTAAGAGGTGTGAGCTTCTGTTGAACTCTACCAATTAGTGAACCTTTTAATAAATGACCGATGCAAAATGTATATAAATAAAGCTTTGTTTATGATAATCAACGAAACAAATTCGTTGTCAAATAAATTTGTTTTAGAGATTTTTGTAAATATATATGCATAAATATGACAAAAACACCAAAATTTCAAAGACACAAAGATTTAATGTAGGTGAATATAACCATCACTGTATTTGTTAGTGAATATTTTGGCTAGGTTTGAAGGACTAGTGTATACTTTATTATGTGGATACTTCTTTTCCTCTTGACTCTCATCCTAAACCAGGACAATTAAAGCATCTGATATAAGGCCATAGCAGCTATACAGCAGCATAGTATTGTCAGATATTTGACAGTAGACAGCACAGTGGCAGCATAATGCTCCGAATATCCAATTTTGAGATGAACATTTTGGCCAATTTTGTAAATGCGTTAAACACCACGATAGATATTGGTGGCTTGGGTTTTATATACCATCATGACTTAAATCATATGAATATCACGACACTACTCCCAACAGTGTGATAATAACGCGACCCCGGTCATTATGATATGTCAATCAAATATTAAACAACAGCGTTAAATTTCACAATTACTTTGCTATGTGGCTTATTGCCTCTCAACCACTTCTCACAACAGTGAGAGCGTCCTTGGTCAAATAAAAAAGTCAAATATGAAACCACCGGAATATATACATTGTGTAACTTTCAACAATATTCATTGACTTACCACTGCTGGATATGGTTGTGGATTTAAGCAAGCTTGCATAGTGAACGCCTTTCTGTTTTTGGTCTTCAAAACTTTATAATTTTCTGGATCTGCCTCTATCAGTAAACCATTCCATTTCCTTACTTTCTCAAAGAAAAGTGTGTTTGATCCCTTCTCCCCATTCAAAGCTCCACATTCTATGTAAAATCCACGCTCCTGAAAATATTTGCAAATAATTAGTTACAAACTTTGAAGTTGTAATAAAACAATGAAACGAAATTTTCACACAGAACTATCAAAAATGAAAGATTTGCTAAAACTGAACCCGTGACCCGAATCGTTGCTATGAATTTGCCCATATTTAAATTTGAAATAGTTTATTTAGATGTTTCATATTTTAATATCAAAAGTACAAAAGAGTGACATTTCCTTATATATCCCAATATCCAAACGTAGCATCTCAGTCTCTTAACCTTAAGTTTACTAGAATCGAAAGCAACCAGCCTTTGCGATCAAAACAGAGCATGTACAGCCTATACATATGTGCAGTTTGACCTGTCTCTTTATATGAAATCTCATACGCCATGATGACTCTTTGATCGATTCCCTCATTTGAGCTTTGATCCTTTGCATTTGACATTGACCTTGGCAAATGGGACCTACATTTTGCGCACAAGACTGTGCCTCACAATGTTGAACATTCTGCCAAGTTATATAACAATGACTCAATGCTCAATCTTCACTATAGAAACACAGCTTTCCTCTGGTGTGCAAGTGTGACCTTGACTTATGACCTTGACACATATGTTCAACACTACAGCTCACAATTATGAACATTTGTTTCAAGTAATACAAAAATTACTCCATGCACGTACACAATGCTTTTATCTTGTTACATTAAATCATCTCTTGTGACATAACATTGACCATATTCACCTGAATTATTGTGATGTATTTTGATATTTAGAATAATTTGTTTTAACTTGTTAAAACTGATAACACTTACTGGATGATATTTCTTACGTTACGTTTTTTACAATGTAAATTATTAGATTTTAAATGCTCTCAACATTCAGCCACATTGACCAACAAGAGAAAATCGATTAAGTAAATAAACTAAAAATAAGACATATGTAACTTCATCTTAATTTAACTTACTATGTAATTTAATCTGCTATCAACAAAAGGTGTCTGTCCATTTGAGAACTCCATTTTTTCTGGATTCTGGAGGTTATAGGGTGCGTTTGAAGGTGGCTCGATGTAATAATCTCTAATCAACTTCACCAGCATTGGGTCGTCTTGGCTTACTTTTGCTTTGTTAAGTTTCATCATGGCAGCCTTATAATCAAACGAACTGTTTCGATTCATATATATAGTCATAGGTTTTAACTTTTCAGAATGATCGGTATTTTTATGATCTTGAGAAATTACTTTTTCCAAAATAATTTCATTTGTGTCAACAGGTTTATGCTCATCAGACAAGGGGCGAGTCTGATTCCTGTATATCAAAAAAACTAGGCAAATAAGAACACTTGTACCGGTTAAATAAGTTCCCGCTGTATATGGTCTCATTTTAATCCTCTTATTTTCTCCTTGACAAAAACCTTAAATTATAAAAGGAATCACTTTTGTCATAACAAAAACCTTCTTAAAAAAAGCAAATTATAGATATAAAAATAGTCTGATACAAATAGACCAAGAAATGTCTTATAAAAAATAAAACATACCGCTCCACTACATATAGCATTCAACAATAATTTTATTTTCCTTCTCGTATATTAATAATATTACAACCAGTGTATCCAATACATTATTGAACAGAATAATACCACGGATATATTCTGTACGCACACCTGAGAATGGCAGATTGAATTAACAATTCTCCTTTCAAGTTGTCTCAAATTCTTGATAAAAGGGCTGTTAATAAAATAACAACAAAAAACAATAAATAAACATATCTCATTCCTTAGGTCAAGTGTATACTTAATTTGCTGTGTTTAATAAATTGTTCAATAAACTGTTTCACTTAATTGATTAATAAATCTTATATTGTTAGATAAAATATCTAATTTGTCGTTTATAATTCAGCTAATACACACATCATTGTTGTGTTAATATAATACTTAACTTGTGATAATCTAATCGAGAAATATACCAAAAAGAACAAAAGTAACAATCTTTAATTTTTGCGCACGCGTTATTAACTAATCACGATGCATGGTCATTAAATATGAGTGTCAATCTAATTTTAGATAGGAGAAATTTAATTTACTCAGTAAACACGATACTACACCAAATGATTCTATAAAGTGTTCTGTTGACAACTGTTTTTTTTATATTTTATTTTTTTCTCAGTGATCATACAATAATACAGTGTACATAACATATAATAAACTTCTGTCCAGATAATACAAAAGCCTGGTCACAAAGAGTTGTTTTTTCACACCCAAACACACGCCCGCACACACATCCGCACCCATACACCCACATTTCCAATTCATAGATACCAACAGGTTTTATAACTATACATATTTCGAATATAACGCACACACAAAACAGCACACACAAAACAGCACACATACATTTCGGGTACCATCGGCAATACGATACTCGTATTAGTGTAACCTAGTATTTAAACAAAAAGGAAAAGGGAAAGTAAAGGGGGTGAAAAATTAAATACAAAGAACAAGAAAAAAAACAACAGAAGATACATCTACAGTTTTTGACTGCTTTTAAACATAATTGTTTTTTATTTTATGTAAGTAAAGTATTTTCATATGTTATTATATTTGTATCTGGGAAAATTCTATTCCATTTTTTAAAATGAGTTTCCAGTTTATCTCGATTAAATGCAATACATTTTTCAATACATAGTCTGCTCCGAAAATAATGTAAAAATAAGTTAAATTGTGGTGTGCGTTTTCCAATTTTGCAACTATATATGTAATATTTTGCCACCAAAAGAATAAAGTTTTTTGCATCTTTTTGTGTATCTGTGCTTGTAATTAAGTGAGATATTGTTTTCAAATTAATTTCTATAATAATATTCCTTTTTTTTGAAATATTCTATTAAATATCTCCAAAAAAGTTGCGTGTAAGAACATTGCCAAAAGAGGTGTTCAATAGATTCAATATCCATTACACAAAAATCACAAAGACTCGAGGAAGAAATGTTTTGTTGTAGAAGACTTTTGTTTGTAGCAATTATTCTGTGAAGATATTTATATTGAAAATTTCTGAACTTAGTGTCAATCGTTGTTGATAGAATGTTTTTGTATGTTTTTTCCCAACATATATTTTCGTTTTCAAATATATTTTCCCACTTATTTTCTGCAGTATTTTTGATAATGTTATCTCGTTTTAACTGATGTTCATATAGAAATTTATTGGTTTCATTTGTTTTAATAAATGACGCTATAATATATCTGTTTGGGGTATTGATATTGACGTTGTCTAGATTGATACCTGTAATGACGTCAGGATGTAGACTTCTTATTAAAGTCTGATATTTGAGGTAATCTGCATCAGGGATTTGATAAATTGTTTTAAAATTTTCAAAAGTGTAAAATTGATCAATTCTAAAGTCAAACAGATGTTCCAAATACACAATACCCTTTTCATACCAAGACTTATAGAAAAATGATTTTTCATTTGATGTTATTTTCATATTATTCCAAATTATTTGTTTATTTGGGTTATTACATTTTGGTATGACTTTTATTTGGTTCCAGGATGAAATTATATCTCTTAAAAATGGATAACTTTTAAATTTGCTTTGTATAAATTTGTCATTTATTTCACATTCAAAAAGTAACTTGCCTCCGTATCTGTCTAATTGAGATAAGTATATAGATTTTATTAAAGATGTCGAATCATCATTTATAATTTTTTTCACCCAGCTCGCCTTTATTGATAATATATATTTTCTCAAATCAATCATTTTTATTCCCCCATTTTCATATTTTTTCTTCAATGTATCCCTTTTTATCCTTTCTGGTTTATTATCCCAAATGAAATCAAACATACATTTTTCTAAAGTTTTTATAATTTTCAAGCTAGTTAAAGGTAATACAGATAAAGCATAGATCAGTTTTGGTAAAGCAAAAGATTTGATGACAGTAACTTTTCCAAGAAGTGTAAGTTTCGGTGTTGCCATTGTTTTAAACAATTTTTAAAAGCATCAATTTTAGGTTCTAAATTCTTTTGGAGACTTAAAGTAGAGTTTGTACAAAATGTCGTACCTAAAGATTTTGCATTGTCAGAAGTCCATTGGAAATTTCGATTTCGGCAATATTTAGTTTCGGAGTTTCTTAATGAGCCTACTTTTAATACGTTACATTTCTTTTCATTCAATTTTAGGCCTGATATTTTATTGAAATCATCTGTTGACAACTGTTTGTGCACCGCAATACTCCATATTAAAAATATAATAATCAAGTGTGAAATTCGTCTAACTGAACAAAATCCTAAGGGTTAATAATGAAAATTGTTATATGACTATGGATGGCTTTTCAGTAAGGCTTTGGTCAAAATTTAAAACCTTTATCTACAATAACAGCTGCCTGCTGTCATAATGAGTATTTGTTTGATATTGATATCTTTGTGACAATGGCTACTGTACTTGCCCGCAAACATTAACCAAGCTGTGAAGCTGGCGCGATTGCCGACACCAGGGTAAAAATATTCTTGGAGCTAAAAATCATACCTTTATTTTCAGTTTTGTTGCAACAACTAGAGAACTTGTTGGCATCTTTCTTGATGCTTTTAAGGACAGGAGTTTCCATTTAAGTTTTTCTAAAGTAGGAGCACTACCTATAAAATGGTTTGAAAGAATATAATTATTTATATTAGCAAGCAAGTAAATAGAAAGCAAATGTTTCCTTAAAATGGAGCGTCTCATGGAATTTCCAACAATATGTGACATTTTGGTCATTTTGAGATGATTAAATATTCACAAAGCACAATCTATTACAGACATTTTCATATCAAAAGTATTCAAAACTGTAGCTTGGATATTTATTAATTTTAATAACTATTTACACTATATACAAGCGAAATACCGGAAATGACTTTTAAACAATAATTGATAAAAAAGTTAAAACATATATAAATGGTCAATTACTGCGAATGATATTAAAGTTCTATTCAATATTAATCACACAGTAAATGGAAAAGGATAAACATTTGATAAGCATTGGCACACACATTTAAAATGTCATGTTGGGTCCAAATCGTTAGCAAAACCACTGGTTACATTTATGTGAATATGGTAAATAAAACTTTAATTTTCCTCAAAATATGCCATATTTTGTATAAAATTAATAGGAAAAACACTGCCTACAAAAGTAATTTCTTGTGTAAATATTATTATGTAAAGATTATTTGTAATATCTGGTCATTCCTGGTACAAAGTACCCCCGGCATTAAGTATACTGTCGTAGATCTTATCCTTCAACACGCCTTAATTGAAGCTTAAGAAACCCAAACATGTGAAAAATATTCTTTATGACTGTTTATCTTGTTTCTTCTTCGCAAATATTTGTTTACTACCTACCTTGAATGTAGGACAAAACCCCACCAGTTAAAACCCCACCACTCAAAATTTTATAGAGTGGACAAAACCCCACCACTAAATTTTATGTAGTGGACAAAACCCCACCACTAAATTTTACAGAGTGGACAAAACCCCACCACTTCAATTTTATAGAGTGGACAAACTTTCTTGCAAACATGTTAAAAAACAAACAATTGTGCATCACAAGAAACTCAAAAGAATGTGTGAACAACTCATCAATAAGCAGAAGTTTGTACCTGAGTTTCTTCAGGCTATTGGCCACTGTATCCGCTTAAACTTAGAAATACAATGAAGGAAAATAGACTCAACAGTTACTGAATAAACTAGAAAATTTAATGTGCTATACAAAATGTGCTATTTTTAATCATTAATTGAAAATGTGCTATATTCTTGATTAATAGTAAGTAGTTTATTTTTATATAAATAAATTGAAGAAATGTATTTGAAGAAACTAATAATAATGGATAATTCAAGGTCATAAATGTGGCACAGTCTCAAATAAATGACTACTCTTTGATGTTGATTTAACAGTTTGTAAATTGTTTGTATAATCTCATTCATTGTACTATATTGCAATTAAAATAAATGCTATATGCTATATTTATCATGTTTTGTTCTTTAGGGATTTGGATTTGAAGTGGTGGGGTTTTGTCCACTCTGTAAAATTTATTGGTGGGGTTTTGTCCACTCTATAAAATTTAGTGGTGGGGTTTTGTCCACTCTATAAAATTTTGAGTGGTGGGGTTTTAACTGGTGGGGTTTTGTCCGTCTTCCACCTACCTTCCTGGAAGACAGCGATCTGAATTAATGGTGTAAATTGATCTGAATTAGCATTGTGCCAATAAGCATTTTGCATTTATCAATAGCAAATATCATTTCGCATTTGTCATTTCGCAAATAACAATTTGCAAATAGCAATTCGCATGGCAGAATGGCTTTCCGTACTTTACTTATTCTTTATATGCGTTTTACGTATGTAAAAAATATATAGCATAGATTAAAGGTCCCAGTGTTATTCTGTATTTTTCAGAGAATCTCGCGGAATGCGACGGTCTGCTGAACACGGCTAGTAGTTTACCACGGAAGGTGGAATATTGTCATCGCTTTAAGCGATTGTCCGCACAAAAAAAGCGGAGTTTTTTCTGTCGCGGATTGCCTTTGTGTAGTTATTGGGTCGCGGAACGCGACGGTGCGCGGAATGCGGAGTTATTTGGTCGCGGAATGCGACTTTCCGTGCAAGGCAGAGTTATACGGTCGAATAAGACCACATTTCACGC